TAGGAGGAGGAGGAGGAGGATTATTGAAAAGATAAACAGTTCAAGAAGTAGCTGTGCAGTTTTCCTCTAAGTTTGATGGTGAATATATTCACAGGGTCTGTAAAAGGGGTTTTGATTTTTTTTAACCTTCATTTTTATATTTCATATGTGGGTATTTTGCCTGCATATGTCTGTGTACTGTGTACATAGAGTACCATGAGGGCATTAGATTCCCTGGGACTGGAGTGGAAATGGTTGTGAGCCACCTTATAGGCGCTGGGAACTGAATGCAGGTCTCCTCTGGAAGAGCAGCCACTGCTCTTAACCACTGGGCCATCTCTCCAGCCCCTGGCTTTAAATTCTTAACTGCAACCCCTGTTGCCAAGTAAGCCTTGTACTACATGGTTCAGTCCACCAGTATGTTGCACCTGCCGTTAATTCCGGGAGCGGGAGCAGGGTATTGCATGGAGCATACAAATCCTGGCCCTCAAGAGCTCTTTGGCGGGAGATGAATGGATACCTTATCAGAAACTGGAAATCTGTAATTGTCCTTTGTTTTGTTCTCTTTTGGGGCAGGGTCTCACTCTGTTCCCAGAACTGCCCTGGAGCTCACTATATAGCTGAAACTAGCCTTGAACTCTGAACAGATCTCCTGCCTCAGACTCTTAGAGTGCTGGGGTTACAGATGTGAGCCATTGTGCTTGGTGACTATGGTATCATTGACCCTATTTTGAATTGAAGAATTGAAGTTGAGAGTAGTCCCCTCCCAGGCTGAACCCATGGCCCAACTTTAGACTGGTGTTGTTTTGTTTTGGTTTCGTTGGTGGGTGTTTTTTTTTTTTTTTTCTCCACAGTATGTATGTGGACCATGGGTTAACCCAGTCCCCTCAGGCCCTGAGACTAGAATTACAAATGGTTGTGAGCTGCCATATGAATTGAACCCAGGCCCTCTGGAAGAGCAATCAGTATTCTTAACATTTGAGCCATCTCTCCAGTGCCAATCCCCTCCCCACCCCCACCCTCTATAAAAATGCTTTAGATAAGGAGTGGTTCTGAGCCAGTTTGGAGTCCACACCTCAATCTCCGACTGCCTGGGTGGAAAGGTCATTCACTGGAGATCTACTTAGCCCCTTCCTCTCTGTCCATGAGAAATGGTGAATTATTGTCCCTTCTGCATCAGCCATGCAGCTCACCACCCTTTCACTTAGGTAGGAATCTGTGTTCCACAGCCTGGCTCACCACCCAGCTGGCCTAGCTCCCTCATTCCTTCCTCCATGCACTGCCCAAGACTGCACTCTTTCACTTAAAAAGGAATCTGTGTTCCACAGCCTGGCTCACCACCCTGCTGGCCTAGCTCCCTCATTCCTTCCTCCATGCACTGCCCAAGACTGCACTAATACTGTGCTCTCACTGCCTCCTACTTGAGGGCAGCTGAAAGAACCTGTGGCCCATGGGCTCTGATTGCTGATCATACATGTGCACAAGGTCCCAGAGCCAAGGGTTTTGTGTGCTGCTGCCTGTTGACTACCTCCAGCCACTCCAGCAAGTTCAGGAAGCTTTCTCAAGTTAAGACATGGAACCCAGTTCATTTTAAAGCTAGCCTGTCTCTAAATTTAACTACATTCCTTAAAGGAAACTCAAGTCAAATTTTCACCTTCAGGAAGATGCTGAAGAGATGAGTTTCTGTGTGTACTGTTCAGTGACTGTTGCCTAGTCAGATGAAGCCTTGCTGTCCTGCTGGCCTTCATACCAGAACCTTCTCTATGCTTAACTAAAGCAAGAGGCTTCTGAAATAAAACCCTGTCAGACCCAAACAGTGCCAAATTTATAACCTGTAGTAAATTGTCAGAGTTGTAAAACTGAATGAGCTTCCCTTTTTTAGTTTGTACACCTTAATTACTGGGGAAGAAGTATATTAAAACTGAGATCATGGGTTAATTAATTTGTCCTGGACTGTAGAATTTTATGGACAGCCAGAACTAAAGTAATGGTTGCGTGGGTGCAATTGACTAAACATGGCTTATAAATGTTGCAGAAGTTGCTGTAATTAGTCCCACTGCAGCTATTTAGCTTGGGAATTTTACAGCAGACATAAATTATGAAGGTGAAAAGTAAGAAAAATTTTGAGTTGACAACATTGGCATTTGCAGAAGCTACAATTTGAGAAGAGCTGTTTTGCATTATTTTTTTCCAGTTTCCTCTTAAACCCACTCTTTTCATGTTTTCACTGTTACACAATGACAATCATGTGTTAGGTGCCTTAAACACAAGTAATGCCTATTAAAATAGACTATCGGCACCATTTCTCTACGAACTTAACTGGCAGCCAGAGGATGAAGGGACCTGTTTGATCACACTCTTCAAAGTCATTTTTGCATATTTAATAGATTGAAAGGGAAAGTTACAGGTTATATTTAAAGAGTGTTCCCTGTCATTGGATCTTGACACATTTTAACCTACCTGTTAAAATTCGAGTTATAAATAGCTCCTCTTTCAAAGGTGTTCATTATACCTCATTGGCTCTTGTTATAGAAAATGCAAATGTAATTTGAAAAGTGCCCGTTCTGAGTGTGAGCAATTACTTGTGCTCTTCAATGCCCGGTTCATTGTCAGCATAGCCACTTGGTTTAAAAGCATGTTTGCCTTTGAAATGGAGATCATTTGGCTTCTGGCTGGCTGGCTCAGTAGGTAATGAGAAAATATTTTCCTTTTCCAGGGAAGCAAGCAGCTGTTGAACAACTATCCTGTCTACATAACGAGCAAACAGTGGGACGAGGCTGTAAATTCTTCCAAGAAAGATGGGAGACGGCTCCTTCGATACCTCATCAGATTTGTTTTCACAACCGATGAGCTTAAGTACTCATGCGGCCTTGGGAAAAGGAAAAGGTCAGTGCAGTCAGGAGAGACAGGTCCCGAAAGACGCCCTCTGGATCCAGTTAAAGTCACGTGCCTCCGAGGTACTGCATCCTTCCCCTCAGTGTCCACCATCCGTGATCCCATTTCACTGCATTGGCTGTGGCTCCCCACACAAATGTTCAGCTGTTACTGTATTTTGATTTTTTTTTTTTTTTAATCTTTGCACCAAGACTTTCTAAAGCTTCATGTGGCCCATCTACTTGGTGTTGAAAAGCTCTGTAAATGATTCCTTGCTTTAGCCTCGTTTTCACATACTGGTACAAAGGCATCGCATAGCACCTCATGTTTCACGCTTTCAATTCAAATTTTCTTTGCTGCCAGAGAAGGCCACATTCAGCAAAACTGGAGCATAGGGAGATAGATGCAGAGAGGGAAGATGTGCCATTCTGTAATTAGTAAAAAGTATCTTGCTTCCATGGACCTTCATCTGGCTTGCAAAGCATACCGGAAAGTAGACTTTACTCATAAAACCTTTTTAGATAGGGATGGAGGGAGGGACACAGAGAGAGTGAGAGGGAGAGAGAGAGAGATTTTCTATGTTAAAAATTCTGCCTACATGACACAGTTTGGTCAGTATTTTAGGTGATTGCTTTGGTCTCCACAGTTGCAGATCAGGCAAAGGTTGGAGAACTAGCAGTTGATGGAGCAGGTTCCATCAAACACAGACAGGTAGAAACATGGTAGGGCCACTAGAACACAGTCTGTCTTGGAACACAAAGCAGAAAGCACACCAGAAGACCCTTCACAGTTGAGTACTAATTTTATTGACTAGAAAGACATGTTGATTTAGTCTGGATAGGAATCCAAATTTTTACTGGTGATAAAGTTGTGACAGTTTAATAGATTAGATAGGATGGATGGATGGATGGATGGATGGATGGATGGATGGATGGGTTTAATAGATTAGATAGGATGGATGGATAGATAGATAGATAGATAGATAGATAGATCACTTATAAGACTTTGATAATTGGGAGGCTTGTCCCTGTACTCACCCCAGGACACAGCCTTCTCTTAAGCACTTGAGCTCTGTAACCCCTCCTGCCAAAGCACACATGTCCTGTTGGGTAGCAGCTAGGCATCTCTAGCTCACCCCCATACATTGTCACCTGGCAGGGATTGAAGGTTTGGTGCATGCATGGCTTTCAACCATCCTAGATGACTCTGATTTGAGTGCTCCATGCTTGGGGAAGCCACTGCACAGGAATGCCTTCATTAACTAGTATCAGTGCTGTAAAGTGATCCTGTGGGCCAGTCAGAAAACTCCACTTATTTTTCATGCCCAGCTGATGGGAATTTCTAAAATATATCTTATTTAACTAATCATAATTCTCCAACATCATTAAAGGTGGTAGAATGGCTCACCAACAGGCAGTGTTGGGCTCAGGCTTCTTATTTGTGGATCCAAAGTAGTAAAAACTAAACCACCTGCATCCCTTCTGGGGAAATGATTCTCAATAGGTAAAATACTTGCTGCACAAGTTTGGGGGTCCGAGTTCATTCCTGGGATCCATATAACTGGGCAAAGAACAACTAAGGAAGACACTTATCTCTATTTTCAACAGCAAATATTCCTAGAAGTTTTAGGTGGCTTTTGCTCTTGCACATGGAACACTGGTGTGGGGTAGATTGGTTGTAGTGAGTGACGCTGTCATGGCATTGCCCTGGACCTCCATGTAACTTTCCTGATAGTGCTTCTTGTATAGGTTAAGCAGCCTTTCTGTCATCATCCATCAAAAACCAGCTGTTTGCTCTGTTTTTTACTGTTGTTTGTATTCCCCAGAATTCATTAGGATGCACTGTACCTCCAACCCTGATTGGTGGATGCCTTCAGAGGAGCAGATAAACAAAGTGTTCAGCGATGCTGTGGGCCATGCCCGACAGGGACGGGCAGTGGGGACTTTCCTGCACAACGGCGGCTCATTTTATGAAGGGATGGATCACCAGGCTTCCCAAGATGAGATCTTCAACAAGAGTTCACAGGATGGATCTGGGGACTAGTGGAAAGAACCTTCCCACGTAGCAGCGGTGTTTTTGTGTTTGGTTTTTTTAAAGAGCTCCAGTTGTGGATGTCCATTTCCTTGTCACCTTAGAGTCCAAAGCATGTTATTCTGTCGTACTTTACACATTCTCAGACTTAAAACTCTTGACCCACTGCCACGGTTCCTAAATAGAAATCCACTTTAAGGTTTTCTGGGAAGTCTCTGGTACCCACAGTAGGTTTGGGGTGTGTTATATCACAGGAAAAGGTACAGTCATAAAGTCATACTAGGTTGACATCAGGGGTGTCTCCTGTCCCAAGTCTTCAAATCTGCCTGGCCTCCTGAGCAGAGCTGGTCTCCTGGGAAGGTTCAGTTAGTGTTCCTGCACATGGGGGAAGGGAAGACACAGTTGTTTTAAGGAACAAGCATTTTCTCATTTAATTCAAGTAAGTTTTCTTTCAATTTTCCAAAGACTTGAATTCAGAGTTCTTAGCAAAGAGGATAGGTGACACTGTAAGCTCCTGTATGTCATAAACTCTTACTGATTAGAAGCCAGAGAACAGAGGCCATGTCTTTAGATGTTCAAGGGAAGGTCAGTCACTTTTCTGTTAATTTCATAGACAAAATTCACTGTGTCCATCAGAAAGGCAGTCTGGTTTCTGTGGTTTACAAGCAGATTTTCTTTATAAAGATATAAAGATTTTCTTTATATCTTTAGGAAACATCCAAAGAGTCAAAACTATTTTCAGAAGCCTTGATGCACAGCTTCCATAGCCTTAAGTCGTACTCTGTGGACACTATGCCAGGGAGGTGGGTTAGTGAGAACTCCCATGACCTGGCTGTTTGGTAAGACCAAGCATGGAGTATGACTTATGGCATCTGCTACTACTGACCGGGGGTCGGGCATTGTAGACGCAGCTTCAAGGCCATTCTGACAACTATGCAATGGCTTGTTGATGATTTCTCTTGAGGACCTTTCTGGGCTGGGTTAGAATGTATGGATCTTCTGTTTCCATTGTCATGGATGACAACACTTTTTCCAGCTGTGCCTCTCCTTTCTGCACAAGTCCTCTGCAGTCTAAGCTCTGCTTCCCTGGTTAATCTGTGGAATCCATATGGGAGGTTAGTGGTGCCCTGGGAGCCATTTCCCAGCAGAGGCTACAGAGGTGCTAGAATGGTTTTTGATAAGGACTCAGTTTTGGACTTGAGTGATTTGCTTACCAAATGAGTCAAGATTACTGTGTGCTTTGTGGAACCAAGAGCTACAGGGACAGCATTTATTGAAGACTGTGAATGACATCTACGAACACAGTGAAGAGTTTTGGAAATGGGATAGAAATTCAGACTGTATCCATTTAGAAAAGGACTTTTGGGGAGGCCAGTTTTGTCAAAATAAATCACATCCTTTATATTCAATATTTAGCATCAGATTTTGAACAAATTGGCTGGGCAGTTTAGAAGTAAAAGAAGTTGAGTAAATGAGCTGTCGCTTACAATGGGTAAGAGCAGTGTCCTTGGCTATCCAAGGGAAGGGGGTATTTCTTAATGTGTGCTCAAAGGTCTGGGAAATCTGTCCTAGGGAATTTCCAGTGCCATGAGCCCACCATCCCCTCATCTGCATGCCCATCTTCCCTTTGCACTGGGCTTCAGTGCCTCTTGCTTCTGGGTATGTTGTCCTTGCAATAGCAGACATGTTTAGCAGCTGCTTTTAAGGGGTGCAGACTTGCAGGCTGTGTCTTTCCCCTATAAGTTTGAGGAGTCTGGACATGCCTTCTGTGCATCATGTTGGAGCCCACAGTGGTGCAGGTCTTCACTAAAGGTGACAGGAGCATTTTGGGCACCAACTCTCTGAGCCTTTGACTCACCACAGCTGTGAGGCAGGGACAGGAACCTCCAGACTGGCAGTTGCTTCCGCCACTTGAAAGGGCGCCCATGCTAGTCTTAACACTGACTTTGCTCAACTGCCTGCTCTCTGCCTCTCATTCTCACTCCAGGTGAATGTCTGCTCTGTCAAGTTTCCCACAAGTGACCAGTTCTGAAACAGTATAAGTAATACTGACCAACGTGCACATGAGGAAACTAAGGACTGCAGCGTTGACTTCCTCAGCATCTGCAGCCAGTTTGCATGTGTGTCCTGAGCCTAGGACCTATAGTCCTCAGCCACAGTCAAGTGTCCATTTTTCCTGCCTCTGTTTACATGATTACTGTTTTGTTTAGCTTAGTGAATTCACTGCCTGATACCAGCAGGCAGCCACTTAAGACCTGTCTCAGTACTCTGCTGGCTCTTTCTTCTAGTGTGTATCCATTTAAGGCTGGGTGCTACTCAGGTCATGCTGGGCTCCTATGTGGTCACCTGAGTGTTAAATCAGCCTGCAAAAGGTGCCATGTCTGGCAGGGATTCAGAGCTCACCATTAATCAGGCTACCCCGATCTCTCCACAAGCCTTTGATTTAATGTCTGGAGGTTAGAGGATGTTTGTCTTGTCAGCTTGGTTTGATTTTCCACATCATTCTCGAAGTCAGACACATTGCTCTCCCAACACAAAACTCAGTCCTCTGTCAACTTTTAGAATTACCCTGAGTCATTTAGTGTTGGTTTGAAGTAGACTTGAGTTAAAAACAGCTCAGGATGCAGCTGTGCAGTTTCATTGGTGAGAGAAATGTGGTTGCCAGGCTGTCGTGACTAAATGTGATGTTTTTGTCTGTTATTAGGTAAAGTCTTGTGTCCTGGCTTTCAGAAGTTCCATGGTTAATAGTGACATTGCCGTGGTGTATTATTCTTTTTCCAAATTAAAATGCCTGCTTCTCACAGTGATTGACTTCCCAGGCACAGATCTTGCCAAGAGGAGGGTGGTCCTGGAATGACCTGTCAGGGAACTGGGACCAGGAGCCGACAGAGGGGAGCAGTGCTCTACAAACATTTGATAAGGTCACATTTCTCACCAGCCCGTTTGTGGGTGCACTGTTCAGCTTCTCATGGTATCAAGAAAACTGAAGCATTTCAAATTGTAGCTTTTTTGCTTGAAAGTATTTCTGCTGGGCCTTAACCCTGTTCCTTGTCCATCACAGCATTTGGGGAACTGTCGCCATGTGTTTCATAAGGCTTCCCCTAAAAAGGTAGTAGAGAGTATAGGAGCGCAAGAGTGCTGTCATCTCTTGGTCAGGTGTTGAGGGACACATGTCAGCACTCGAAGCTGTAGTCAGCAGGTGGTTCATGTGTCATCCCTGACCCTTCATCAGGATGATAGGAGACATGTAATTACAATTGTATTTAACACAGCTACTCCCCATGGCATCAGGTTATGGTCACTGATAGCAATAGGAATTTTTTATTATTCAGTCCAGTAATAATTCTTGAAATAATAGATGTTTACACAAAATCTAAACAATAACTCAAACTGAGGAATCTGCAGGTTTCCGATTTCTGCATATCCCTGCCATTTATGACTTGTGCCTCTTTTCTGCAACTCTGAGAACGTGGATGGAGCTCTATGGGAAGATGTGCACCGTGTCCAGAACGAAAACATTCACTGCCCTCATTTGAGTTGTTTTTTGTTTGTTTGTTTTGTTGCGGTGTAGGGGTGAAACATTGTTCAGTATGTGCTCTAGACTAGCCCTGACACCCACCGACTACCTCCTTAGTTTCTATATAGACCCATTATCTTTTTTGGGTTAAAGGTCATTTTTTGGTGACTTATAGAAAAGATTTTAAATGCTGTACCATGTCACAGTACAGGTCTGTGTTAATCTGTGACTGCTTTCCCATGCGGATTTGGAGAAATGTGATAGAAAATGGTTTTGCACATACAGTATGAGTCTTGCTGGTGTGTGTGTTGGATGTAGCGACACTTGCCAAAACTGCTTGGCAAACACGTCAAGAGGGATGCTTGAGTCACAACTCTAATGCAAATGTGTCGAAACAGCAGTGTGTGTCATTATGGTGTATTTTTGTAAACACGATGGTGACTTCTTTCAGTTATACAAGTACTAGATAAAAATAACACTTGAAACACTGGAGGAAAATGTCACTTAGCTGATCACAGAGCTACTTGCATTATCAGCCAGGGCATCAGTGTGTGTGTGTGTGTGTGTGTGTGTTTACAGGAGAGGGACGAATTGACATCAGCAATGTGGAAGACAAAAATAATACCCATCACCACTTTTTGAAGGGTAAAGTACGTTGGCTCATGCAATTACACATTAGAGGCTGCTTGCACTCTCCATAGTATATTGAATTTGGAGAAATGTTGAAAACTGGAATTATCATATTTAATGACTGGCTTTGTCAGTCTTGACTATTTAAGGCAGTAAATTGCCAAAACTTGGCTTGTGAACTCCCATAGCTGACTGTAAGGGCTGTGCTCTTACTGAATCACAGTTTCTCGAACTGCAGTGAAAGTGCATCTGCTAGTGAGACCCATTCGAAAACCTGGGACACGCTGAACAGTGGCCCCAGTACAAGTGGCCCAATGAGCCTCAGCATGTTGCAGAATTATTTGGTCCCATTGGAAATCACTCCCGTGGCAATAGTTAAGTACAGCTACCTAAGTGTAACTCCGGATTTCCTGTGTGCTAGCTGCTTCAATAAGCACTTTAATGTATCCTTCCTTATAACCCGCACAGCTGCCCTAAGCTGTCACCGCCCAGGGTGCTCACTGGAGGTCACTTTGAGTTCCATAAGCAGAATGACCCTTTCTGTTTGCCCCAGTCAAGCATAGCACTCAAAGTCTGCCGACACTTTGGAGTGAACTTTTTTTTTCTTCTGCTACCGAGGGAAAGCTTGTATTTATATCAATCGCTACATCTGCTTTGGAAGTACACAGGTGCTTAATACAAGTATGTGAAGCTTGGGCCTCCAGGAGTTCCTACAGGGCTGGCATGAGTTGTGGCCTGTGTGACATCCTGTAAGGCAGACCAGAAACTCTTAAGGGAAGTGAAGACATCAGAAGTCTAGTTCCCTTCTACTTGTGTTTTAGGTTCCCTGTACAAAGATGCAGGAACATAAGAGAAAACTGAATTTTGTGACTAGATCCTCTTGGGGAACACCTGGTGATAGCAATGGGTATTGACCAGTGTTCCCATCTCTGTGTGGCTGGTTTTGCAGCCTCCTGGTAACACTTAAAATTCAGTGGAACAGGAGGTTTTAACTGACAATGTCACTGTGAGAATTGTAGAGGAGATTATGTAAAGGATATAGTGACCTGTTGATTTTTGCCCCTGTAGTTTTAGCTTTAACATCCTTGAGAGCATGCCAAAGCCACAAGGGGCCCGGCTTGTGCCTCTTAGGAGCAAGCCCTGCTGGAGTCAGGTAGGGAACTCGGTCACTGTCTAGCCTGACCTTGCCCAGGCTAAGCCTCTGCAGAATGGCATGTAGCAGCTAACACTGGGGCCAGTTGCCTTTACTCTATTTTCTATGATGAATACTTGTGGAGAAACTGTGACAAATCCATTGATCCTAATATTTTTATTGTTGGAGTCTTGTGGCTTCTCTGAATAATTTCTATTTGATTGTACTGTGTGGAATTCATACACACTAGGGATATGTTAATAAAGGTAAAATGCATAGTATAATATAGAATAGCAAAAAATTTTGTGAACAATTTATATAGAAGAGTAAGTTGTTTTTTAAGTGTTAGGCCATTTCTTTTAGGAACCTAAAATGTTATAAGAGTTTTTTAAACATTCAATATTTTTAATTATAAGAGACATTTGTTACTAGAGCTAATTATTTCGGGTGTTCTAATTGGAATATTGATTTTCTTACCTCATATACCTCTAGAATGCCACATGTTCTGTTGGGGATAAAATTGCACAATAAATGTCAAGTTACCTGTTAATGTTTTAACTTGTTTTTTTTTTTCTTTGTGTGTGTGTGTGTGTGTGTGTGTGTGTACATATGTATATGCATCCTCGTTTGTGGGCATGTGTGCACATTGTATGAATTGTGGAGGCCCAAGGTTGATCTCAAGAATCCTCTGTGTCTCCCATATTATTTTTGAGAGCCCCAAATAAGCACACAAAGACTTATATTAATTATAAAGCTGTTGGCAGATGGCTAGGGCTTCTTATTGGCTATCTCTATCTTAATTATTAACCCATTTGTATTAATCTATGTATTTCCATGTGGTCTTATCTTACCAGAGAAGGGTCCAGACCTCTTACTCCTTTGTTGGCTACAAGTCGTCTGTCTGGCGGGCTCTCTTTGCCTTTCTTTCCCAGAATTCTCATCCTCGCCCGCCTATCTTCCTGCCTCACTAGCCAGACAGTGTTTTATTCATCAACCAGTAAGAGAAACATATTCCGAAGGACATCCCCAATCAGTAGTGTTTCACAGTCAATCCCAGAGTGAATGGATAAGGCTAGTCATACTAGTCAACTTGCTGTGGGAGTCCCCTGCCCCTGCCTTCTAGACCTTGAATCACAGGCAAGTCACCACCCATATAGCCTTTGTGTTGAGGTCTTCGGATCTAAATTAAGATCCTTTTGCCTGTACCACAAGTGTTTCAGCCACTGACCCATCTCCCCAACCCCTAACTTGCTGTTTTGTCTCTTTTGCCACTTAGTTGTTACTGGGTTTTTTGGGTTTTTGTTTTGTTTGTTTTTTTAAGTGTTTCTGGTTTCTCTTCTAGAGTCCTTTCCTCCTGAAGCTATGGCTTGCTTTTTTGTTTCTAATAAATGCAAGGAACGGTCTATGCTGAGCGCCCAAATAAGAGCCAGCAAGATGGCTTGGCGGGTAAGGGTGACTGTTGCCAAGCCTAAAAACAGAGTCTGATCCTCCAGACCTACATGAAGGAGGGAGAGCACTAACTCCCATATGGTATCCTCTGACCTCCGTGCATACGATTGGATATGCATATCCACACACAATAAATAAATGTCATTTTAAAAAGTTCTCTAGTCTATTATCCCAGGGAAGTAACCAGAAATTCATCCTGGCCGAGTAAGTGGGAGAGTGGGGAGGAAGTGACATGTGTGACTCGAAAGAACACTTGCTATCGGGAAGCCCTAAAGCTGCAGCTCACAACTCCTCCAAATCCACAGAGATTGCCTGTTTATGGTATGTGAACAGTGCACCAAGCACAGAAACAAATTGGTTATGGCTTCCCCCTTTGAGTTACTGCAGAAAGTATGTCTGACATAAATATTACAGAAACACAAAATTAGCAAATGTTATTTCATTAGCCAGATTACATCAAAAACTAAAGTTTCGTTTTTAAGAAATTCAAAGGTGTTTTATTTTTGCCCTCAAGATTCAAAATTCAAAACAGTGCTTCAGTCAAAATAAGTTTGGTTAGAATTGGGATATCAGTTGAAAGTGGATGAAAGTTACTCTCTAACACTGAAAGGATGAACTATAACAAGGTACGTCCAGGATAAACCTGATGAAAAAACATAGAGCTAGGTTACAGGGTTCAAAATCTAGTACAAATAGGAGTTGTTTCTATGCACGAGTAATAAGCAGTCTAAGAAGAAAATTAAGCAATTCCCCTTATAGTAGCAGTAGAAGAATAGTATACTTGAATCAAACAAAATTCCAAACACTGCCAACTATAAAATAGGGAAGTTTAAGACCTGAACAATGGAAAAGTCAATAAAGGAGCGAATTGTTAGAATGAAGTGCTGCCGCCAGGCAGTGGTGGTACACGCCTTTAATCCCAGCACTCAGGAGGCAGAGGCAGGCGGATCTCTGAATTCGAGGCCAGTCTGGTCTACAGAGTGAGTTCCAGGACAGCCAAGGTTACATAGAGAAACCCTGTGTCAAAAAAAAAAAAAAAAGCACAATGCTCCCAGCTCTGGTCTGTAAGGAGCAGGCAGCTGCTGCCAGGCTAACTGCCAAGGGGTCCTAGGATTCATGGGAACAGAAAGGCCCCAGATACTCAACAGGACGAAAGCTACATTTATGGTAATTGGCAATTAAAGTATTGAAATGGTTCCTTGGAGGAAGAAGAGCCTTAAGCAGGTGACAGGGCCAACAGGATATCCACCTCTTGCTGAGATGAAATGGGATCCCAGTATCTAAGTCCTGGAGGGAGCTCAGAATTCCCATCAAGGACACGTCCAGGATCTAGTCTCTAGATCCACTCAAGTTGATAGCGACCATAGCAGAACCCAGGAAAATCAAAATAGGTACATGGGTGTTCATAGTGTTAGGTATACAGTGGTTAAAAGTAGAAATAGTACAAATCCCCAAGTGTCTGGAAAAAATGTGTGTATCTCCATATAGTGGACTATTACTTAGTTAAAGCCAGAGTTCTGACAGCACGGCACTACATGGATGAACCTTGGAAATACAGTAAGTGAACAAAGACACAAAAGACCAGCTATTATACAACTACACTTACATGAAATGCCCAGAATAGTCAAAATCCCAGACAGGCACGGCTGGCTTAGCGCGTCTCAGAACACTATTGGCCTAATTAAGGAACCTAGGGTAATAGAATCCCTTTGAAATTGGTTAAACACACATGCTGTGTGTTTGTCCAGAGCCTTGTATACCTAAGCAGTGGCATACTTAGTTCTTAGTAAGCCAATGGCTGGGTAACCATTAGAGAAAAATGATAAGAAGCTACTAATGAGAAAAAACCCACATTCCACTGGGTGTCTTTTTTCCAAAGGTGAAATTGTACTAAGAAGGGGCAATCAGTCATCAAAGTCTGTGACTGTCAGAGACAAGTTAACTTTGAACAACGTGGCCATAGCCCTGTCAGTTACAGCATCATTCCTGTATGGTTTTGGTATGGTACCAAATGCTGACTGGGTCACTTCGTCCTCGCCTTTCCTCTGTTCTTTAACATTTCTTGTCAGACCTCACCCAGGCAGTCTTAGTGATACCACACCTGGTGTTTAGCCGGCAGCTGCGGAGATCACCTAATTCCCGCACTTTAGTAGAAGGTGAGCGTAGGGTGATCCAAAATTCTTCAAAATTGCTGGCCAGACTGGAGATGGGAGGGCACTAGCAGCTGGAAGAGGCAAGGCCGGCAGGGGGGCTGAAACTGTAGAGGTCTCCCTGCTAGGAAATACGATCTCCATGCCATCCGAGGAGCATGCAAGGAAGGAGCCAGATTGGGGATCGACTTGCAACCACCCTTTCCTTCCTATCTCCTCTAATTGAATACACAGGAAACCTTACAGTGTGAATAACCCACTGTACCCTACCAAGACCACCACCACCACCACCACCCCCTCCCCCAACCTCAACACAGTGAGGTGGAGAAGAGAGAAGATATTAGCAGGAATAAGGGGGCAAAGCAGGTGATTTCTGCTCCTGGGAGCCTCTTGGCCTTTGGTTATTTGAATAGTTGACATTTATGGGTCATTGGATTAAGGGTTCTATGATCATTCCTTCCTTCAGTCTTCCCAGCCCGTGAGGAAGTTCCAACATCTCCGTTGTATGGATGAGGAAGCTGGTGTTTGGAGGAGCCCCAGTGTGCAGAGGTAGGAGTCTGACTCTGCTTGGCTGCTTTTGTCCTCTCAGGCCAGTCCACAAAGATATTCTCTTTAAGACTTTGATCACTTGAGGTGAGAGGTGATGATAAGGCTGATGAAGCAATACTACCTGTGTCTCCCCAGCTCTGGTGGATGCAACAAGAGCGCATTGTCCTCTGGGACCCCAAGGCTGGGCCTCAAAATCCCAAACATGCATGAGTATTGCTGAGGTTAATGTTCATAGGAAGTCTTATGTTCATACCAGGAGGTCAAGGCAAGAATTGGCCTTCATGTTTGTGGCAGTTAATGTTCATAGGAAGTCTTATGTTCATACCAGGAGGTCAAGGCAAGAATTGGCCTTCATGTTTGTGGCAGTTAATGTTCATAGGAAGTCTTATGTTCATACCAGGAGGTCAAGGCAAGAATTGGCCTTCATGTTTGTGGCAGTTAATGTTCATAGGAAGTCTTATGTTCATACCAGGAGGTCAAGGCAAGAATTGGCCTTCATGTTTGTGGTAGTTTGAAAGAAAATGGTCCCCAAAGGGAGTGACACTATTTGGAGGTATGGCCTTGTTGAAGAAAGTATGTCACTGTGGAGACAGGCTTTGAGGCCTTGTAGGCTAGATTCACTTCCAGTGTCTCAGACCACTTCCTGTTGCCTGCGTATTAAGATGTAGGACTGTCAGCTTCCACACCATGTCAGCCTGCATGCCACCTTGATGATAATGAACTAAACCTCTGAAAATGTGAGCCACCACCCCAGTTAAATGTTTTCCTTTCTTCACAGCAATAGAAACCCTAAGACAATGTTAGAGAAATATGCCATACAACATGGTGATACCTGCCTTTAAGGGATTGGGGGGGGGGCAGAACTGGAGAAATGTTAAAAGTGCTTGCTGCTTTGGAGAAGACTCAAGTTTGGTTCCCAGTATCCGTATCAGGCCCCTCGCAGTTGCCTGTAACTCCAACTCCAAGAGATCTGATATGGTCTTCTGACCTCTGTGGGCACAGTACTCACTTTTACACACCCACTCATGAGCACACCCATATACACATACTTTTTAAAAATCAAATATTTTTAAAGCCAAGCATGGAGGATGTGCTTGCAATCTCAACACTGGGGAGGCAAAGATAGGTGATTGACAGGGCTCACTGGCCAGCCTAATCTACGTGGCAAGCTCCAAGCCAGTGAAAGACCTGTCTGTCTCAAAACAAGATGGCAGGCACCCGAGGCACAACATCCAAGGCTGACCTCTGTCTCCATGGACACAGGAACACAGGCACATAAAACATCAGGCTTGCATTGTTTTGTCAAGTAAAAATGCAAGTAAACTTGTAATGGAAGGGGGACATGCTTGCTCCTTTGATTAAATAAGCAGGGTGGGATAAAACATGCCTGAAATAAAGTATCTTTA